GATGCAAACCATAGTAGCAATAAATAGGATTTATTTCTGTTTGTGTTGTCTTTGACATTTCGCAATTATTCAATTTTTGAAAACAGTATCTAACAACCCAGATCTGCCCGAATGAAAATAGTCTAAACAGTTTCTAATTTTTCATTTACCCAAAATAACACCTGCCAGATTTTTAGCCTCACCGCCGACAAACTTTTTACCGCACTCTATTCCACAATCTATTGCCACTTGCAAATTGGGCCACATCTGACAGACAGCCATCAAACAAACAGCCCCAAACCAAAATAACCAAGTGCAGTGGATTGCAGGCCTTCGAGGGGTATATGGACTGCAGGATGCAGGACTTCAGGACTGGGCAGGATCGACCACCGAGGACTGGGTACTGGCCAATCCTTTCGGCCTGACAGACAACAACAAGTAAATTCCATTAAATGTACGAAATGGAAATTAATTTCGGTTGCACACAAAAACACATATATGTGAGGATTTTTATGTTTTCATTATGGAGTCGAATCTCCAAAGGGGAATCCCTCGCAAGTAGTGAGAAAGTGAAATGAGCTTTCAGCGGAATGGGTGGGGAGGAGGTGGGGTGGTTGGAGTGATGGCAGGAGGAAGGAGGGAGGGGAGGAGGAACTGGGGGGTCACCGTGTGACCCCTGGCCAGGCCAATGTTAATTTCAATTGCCTGGTGCATGGTCCTTGGTCGCATGTCGTTGACTCCTTGCCGCAACTAAATCAAGTGCTGCACGTGGCAGATGCACTGGGCCACTCCTCCCCTCCCCCTCCCCAGCACATTCCCGTCCCTTCCTCTTTCTTCATTTCTCCTTTCTTTTCCGCCCTTTTGCCAACCTCTTGCCTCTTAATCCTCAACCTCTTTCTTTGCTCCCTGTCTCGAGCGAGGTTGATGCTCTGTTATCGCTGTTTGGGCACACTCAAAATAAAAATAGTAATAAAAATAAAAATAATAAAATAAAAATAGTAACACTTAATTGGTATTTTGTTGTTTAATGGTAAATAACAAGAGAACAATAGAACTAGATTATTATTATTATACCTACTATTTAAAGTTTATATATTTTGTACAAAGTTAGTTCTTTAGAGTATATAACAACTAATCAGGAAAAAAATACCTCTTTTGTATTTTCAATTTTTAAAAATTTAAAAATAGTGATTACTAAAATTTGTCATTAGTCAAAAATATATGTAAGTTAGACAAACAAATTTCTGTAACTTCTTAATATAAATTAAAAGTTACCCTTTTTTAACTTTAAGACTTTTGAGTTGAGTTTAAGTAAATCGAAAGAATGAACAATATAAATATGAGATATTTTCATCACTGTGCCGGAAAAGCGGGAAAATCTGCTGGGCTTGAAGGACGGCGAGGGGGAGGGAGTTCTACGCCTCCTTTTTTGGCAAATGTCGCGAGTCGCGAGGCGTCGCTAACGTGGACATGGACATGAGCAATGTGCAATGGCGATAAGGAGGAGCTCTCGCAACGGACATGGCCAGCATTCCCATTCCCAACCCCAATTCCATGCCCATTCCCATTCGCAAAAACCCCCTTTTTCGGGAGCATAATTGGCCAGTCTGTCACCCCGCCCATGGCACTCCACAATCAATTGAAGCGTAATGGCAACAGTTCAATAACTTTTTGGCCATTCTCCATGGGATTCCATTGCAGGCTGAAGATGATGGCCATCACACCGATGATGATGCTTCAATTATCTATTATAGATCTAATGAGTTGTCATGTTCGGATATTACGGGAATTGATTCGTTTGCGACTCTTTTGTTGGAGGCAGACGATAAAAATAGTTCAAGTTTACGGGTTTTTTATGCTTTCTATTAGTTGTTTTTTTTATTTTTAATATTTTCTCAGTCGACTTATCTCTGCTTCGCTGATTTTCAATGGCCCTTTGATTCTGTCATGAGTCTTTTATACATCCGCTGAGGTGATTTGTAAATTATCAATATTCTTGATTTCAATGTTGTGAAGCGGAAATTTAATATTTATTTATTTCTCTAGTTTTTCTTCATCCTAGCGCTACTAATATACAATATACTTATTATTTAGAGCGCCAAAATATAGTTATTATTTGTATAATATTTTTAATATTTTAATTGTTTTAATTTTTAATTATCTTCTTTAAATGTTAATTTAGCCCCCTTAATTTATAACAACTAGCTGTGCCATGAGACTTGCAGATTTCCAGTATTTTTTGAACTAACATCCTGAGAAATATCCGTTGCATTAATCAAAAGCCAAAGAACTTAAAGGCAATGACTAATATTTTTGGCTATCAGCGGCGCCAAATGGCCAATGCTCGCCGCCCCTGGGAAATCTCCTAGCCCCCTTCCCCGATTTCCACAGATCCCCCGCTCTGCCCACACCCATGTGCATATTTAAGGGAACTATCCAGACACACATACATACATGCAATTGGTGGAGTACATGGTTTACCTGGCTTCGGGTTTTTGGAGTCGCAGGAGGAGGGGATGCGGAATGGAAATGCGGAGTACGAGGGTCCAGAAAAGGGGGTTCCGAGGATTGATGCTGCTGGTTTTGGCTTTCGGTGGTTCGCTATCATTGCACAAGTGCGCAAAATTTTGGACTCAATTCACGTGCTCGGCTGCCAAAATTGTTGCCTGGCCTCTGTACCACCCAAGCCCCCCCTCCATAGTAGACCCCCCCCACTGCGGACCGCCCCCTTGGTACCGCCTTTCGGTCCATAAATTTGCACATTGATCGCCCTGTGGCGCTGCCTCTATATATGTCGTCTGTCTATATGTATTTAATTCGATAACAGCGCCAACGGTAAGGGGAGTTGTTCGAAAGATTTTTACCCAACTCCACCCACCTATTTTCTGCCCACTTTCCACGGCCCTCCCACAAGCATTGCACTCTCAAGTGCAGTGAAATAGTTGTGAAACACTTTGCCAAAGATGAAAGATAAATCCAAAAAAGCAAATGGCAGCGCAAAAGGCAATGCTCATTTTTGCATAGCTTTAAAAAATTTAATCAAAAAATGGAGTTTTGCCACACTTAAAGAAATTCATTGTGCCTGCTTAAATAATACACAAAATTCAAATGATTCATTTATACTTTTCAGTATATATATTCAGTTCTTTAATTAAGTTGAAGGGTAATATTTTGTGTAATAGTTTTCATAACGATTTTGTTGTTTCTTTGTTGAACAATATAATAATATAACAAACCAAACATTAATAATGAAAAACGATTTATTAAAAACTACTGGTTCAGTGTGGCGTATAAAACAATAATCCGTCTGCCATGTCAGTGAAATACATTTTTACCTAAATAACGAAAGGATAGAATATTGAATATTGCCAGTTTGAATTTTATTTAATTGTTTTTCGCTTTGCCCCGATACCTAGTAAATTACATAAATGGGCACCTCTAGAATTCTTAAGTATAAAATCCTTATACAGTGTGACCTTTTTTTTAGGTTTGTTGTGTTAAATTTAAGTTTAAGTCTTGCATTTTCCTCCCCCTTTATTTTTGTAATGTGTTTGCAAACAAAAATCGGTTGATTGAACAACCGTAAGTTCTCTAACCGGACGAACGAAAGCCGTGCATAATTTAAATGTCTAGACCCCATCCCGCTGCCCCGAAGGTCCCTCTTTTTCCAACCTGCGCTGACCGCAGGTCGTGGAATTGGGTGGAAACCGGGAAAAGGGCAAGAAAATGCACAAAAAAAATGCAGGAAAGGAAGCTTCGTCTTGTAAACCAAAGTTTATATACACTTACTGTTATTAAAAAATCTTTTTTCGAGCTAACTTGTAACTTGTAAGTTTTCAACTTATTTATTAGATAAATGCAAATTAATTAAAATATGTTTCACATAAATTTCGAATGAATTAAATGTTATTTTATAAAAATGCCTTAGGGGTTCAATGGGTTTCGGCTTAACGTTTTGTTATGTGCATTTTTTTTAATGGTAACTCAAGTCAGCAATAAAATCTTTTGGAGTTGAAAGTTTCTAAATGTATTGCTACTGATTTATTTATTTCCTAAGGCGAATCTGAGGTAAAACTTGTTAACTGATTTACAAAATCAAAATACCCCCGCATATACCCTTATTAAGAGGGAATACCTCAAGCATCCGGCCTGCCACTGTCAATAATTAAGTGCGAACCTTGATATAAACTTTACGCCAACTCCGTTGACGGCCGGCGTTTTTTCTTTTTTGTATTTGCACTCGCTGCACTGACAGAAAGTTCACGAAAATTGGAATTTCGGAAATCAATTTAGATTAATTCTTTACGATAAAAGTAAAAGTCAGGAAAATAGGAAAATAATATAAAAATAAATTAACTTTAAAAAAGTATTGTAAGTTAAACATTTTCAACATTAATGCTTTTGATCAGTAATTAAATTGTTATTCATTTTTTTTATCCTAATGTTAAAACAATGTTATTATAGCGAAAATATTCTTTACAAATTATGGGAAGTTTTATTTGCAATGCTGTTGGCAGAAGAATATTTTATTAATCTCACATATTGTTTAAGGCTTACAAGGTCTTGAAAATCACTTAATTTTTCTGAATGGTTGCTTGCAGCTTAATGCTAGAGATATATAATATCACATTTCTTTCTGTGCACTTCTGATTCGTCCTTTTCTTTTAGTCTGTCTGCGTTTATCCTTTCGAAGGCTCTTCTCTCTTTGCATTCGCTTCGTTTTGATTAAATTAAAAAGTTACCACAGTCTCAGTCGCCCACAAACACAAACAAGCAAACACGCATACAAATGCAGACAAACAAACAAATAAGTGAGGAGAATTCCTTTCGTCCTTTCTCTTTTCCACCGCTCTGACCTCTCGCTCGCTCATCCTGTTGCTGCCACGTCCTCTAATTGTGTCTTCAGCCATCAATTGTTGCCGTCCCTTTCTGCCGGCCAAAGGACCTCTCTTTCGCGCCGCCAACAATGCAGCTTTGGATGGGCTAATAGATTTATCATGAATCGTTTCACAGTCCGTTACCGTTATTGTTCTTGCGCCACATCCTTTGCCATTGTCCTTCAGGTGGCAGTCTTCCCTCTCCCTCTCTCTCTGTCTCTCTCTCCTTCTTTTTTGCTAATTCTTCTGGGTCCTTTGGCTTTGTCTGAATATACGAATTTTGATAGTTAATAGTCCTTGTGGCTTTAGAGTTCCATAAAAGATAGTAACATCAATATTTCTCATTAAGACCCCATGTCAGTCTTGATTTTCTCTTACAATCTACAAACATTACAATAATATTAGTGCCTCAAAGTATGCAACATGCTGATCGAGAAAACTTATTATTAGTTTGGCAAGGTCAAACTGCTGAATGAATTTCCCCATCAAGATTAGTCCATAAATCGCTTGTCTGCCGCTAGCAATCGCCGAATCTCCACGATAGTTGGCCATTTCGATAAGATTGGTTCTCACATAAGGCCTCAAAATAAATAGCTTTGGGCGATAAGATATTATAGGCTTAACGGTAAAGTTAGCAGAGGGGTTAAAATTAGTTCATTTTTAGAGTGAATAATAAAATCAGCAATAGGTATTTTGAAGAGTAAAAAGCAAAGTTTATTTTTTGCAGAAATAAAAAATAATACTTGGAGAATACTAAAATGGGTACTGGCCATAATTACACCATAATCATGAAAAACAATACAAATGTTTTCAAATCATTTGTTAACATAGCGGTTAAGTGTGGATAGTGCGAGGTAATAAATTAAGTAGAGTCTTTCACTCTATATAAAGAGGTACACGTACTTGGGCTTTGCCCATTTAGAAAATGAAATCTGCTCAAGTAAGTGCCTTTGGGACTCTGTTTGTCAGCAGTCTGCTGCTCCTGGTGCTGCCGGTACAGTCGGCCCCCGGTAAGCTGAACGGTCGAGTGGTGGGTGGCGAGGATGCGGCCAAGGCCCAGTTCCCCCACCAAGTGTCCCTGCGGAACGGGGGTTCCCACAGTTGTGGCGGTTCGATCTTGTCCAGGAACTACATCCTGACCGCCGCCCATTGTGTGACCAACGAGGATGCGAGTGGCAACCACATTCCCATTGCCGCGGAGCGTTTCACCATTCGAGCTGGCACCAATGATCGTTTCAGTGGCGGAGTCTTGGCCCAGGTGGCCCAAGTGATTGTCCACGAGGAGTACGGCAGTTTCCTCAACGACGTGGCCCTGCTCCGACTGGAGTCCCCGCTGATCCTGTCCAGCAGCATCCAGCCCATCAGTCTGCCCACCGCGGATACGCCAGCGGATGCGGACATCATCATTTCCGGCTGGGGCAGGATCAAGCACCAGGGTGATCTGCCGCGATACCTGCAGTACAACACCTTGCGGTCGATTTCCCTGGACAGGTGCGACGAGCTGATCGGCTGGGGAGTCCAGAGCGAACTGTGCCTTATCCACGAGGCGAACAATGGGGCATGCAACGGCGATTCCGGTGGTCCGGCCACCTACAACAACCAGCTGGTGGGCGTGGCCGGGTTCGTGTGGTCCGCCTGTGGCACCAGCTATCCGGACGGATATGCCAGGGTGCACTTCCACAATGATTGGATCAGGAAGAACTCGGACCTGTAGAGCATGTCATTTGTTTAACAACTATAGCCATAATCGTTTGATTAAACAACACCAGTTAAAACCAGAATTCCGAATAAAAAACCCTGAGGAACTGTATCATATAGTTATCCTATCCGATCCATTGATTTTTATATACTACGTGCAATGCAAAAGACCTTTGTTAAAGATCCATCCAGATAGCTTTACAACAAAGAGACTAGTTATCGTTAAAACGGACAGACGGGCGGACGGAACGAAGGACAAAAATTGTAGACCTGATCTAATAAAGGTTTAATCTAACATTAGTTAGGTAAATTATTTTCAAGATTATGTAAGAAATTTTATTAACAAAAAAACATAGTTGGAATACAATTTTAAGTAAAACATCTAATTATTTTGTCCCCCAAATGTTTTTATAAAGTTGAGTAAAAAAAAAAACAAAATTGCGGATTTTTTCGATCAAAATATTTTTTTTTTTTTTTTTTTTTCAGGTGATTAACACCATAACTTTTTACTTAATTCTAGTTGTTTTGCACAGCTGTCAGCCGGCCGGGCCAGGCCACTCTTTATTCCTCTGTCTCCCGGCTGGCAATTTCTATAACTTGTAAGTATGGTTGACCCAAATGTTTTTAATCGGTTATAGTGTCTGTTTTTGTTCGTCTGTGGTCCCTAGTCTGTTCGTGTACCATGCTTCTTACTTCTTACCGGGATTCGAACCCGGACCGGTGGCGATACAACACACTTTGCTCGAGGAGGTCCGTCTACTCACTCGGCTGCCACCGGCGGCGAATGGAAGGCTTCCAAACGTCAACTTAAATCCCAACCAGCCTACTAGATGTTTTTCCACTTCAAATTTCCACTTCAAATTTCCGAAATCTTACAATTCCCAAGTTGTTTTTCCCTGCAGGCCATTTCGATTATCCTTTTAACGGAATCGATATAAGTGTAGGGTTGTTCAACTTGCAGGGTTGCCGCCCTTGTAGTTGATTATAAGGTACAAAATTCGAGGGCTACCACAAGTTTTACACATAATTCAGGGTTGCAGAAGATTAGGACTTCATTGCCAAATGTAGACCAAATAAACAGCTTGTAAATGTACTAAGCCCAATCCAATACAGGCTTAATCTATTAACTATCCATTTAAATGAAAATGCGGTTTTAAGATCTTGTTATTATAGTGTATTGATGTTCAGGTCAAGAGTATTGCGCAGACTGCCGGTTTTTGGTAGGCTTGATCCACTCGTCTTCTTGAACTTCCTGAAGGGTCCTTCGACATCTTCAGGATGGACTTCCTTCAGGGCTTTTCGCTGGTCCCATCAGCATTTCTCACTGGGCTCGAGGACTACAGTGGATTATGGACGATGGGTTTTCTTGGCGACCCGCTTTTTGGCGGCGGAGACCTTTGGAGAAGGTAGCTTCTTCTTCCTGCCAATCGGGGTTTTAGTCTTCTCGAATTTTGATTTTGTTTCCGGTTGCTTGCGGTTGCGAATTCTAGGTAGTGGGCGCACTACGTCAGAAGCCTGTAAGGCGGCAACTTCAGACCGCAGACTAAGGGTTTTCCTGCCAACACGCCTTGTATTCGATCCGCGATGCCTGGGAACATCACTACAAACGAACTCGTCATTGCTAACGACTTTAGTGCCCCCTTTCTTCGCGGGAACGCTCTTCGACGTGGCTCGTTAGGTTCATGGCCGACTTGAAAATACAAATTGAATCAATTTTGTCTAACAAGAATTGGTTCTTAAATAAAATATTTTATATATCGTTTGCGGAAAATGAAAGTCAATTATAATATTTTCGGAAATATATAGTATATATCCCATTGAATAAAAAGTATGTGTTTCGTAGTTCCTTTCATGCTTATTACAGCAAGTTCTTTAATGTTCGTTTAAAAAAATTGTATTTATTATAAACCGTCACGAGGCACAAATTAAATCGATAAAACTACCTTCAAAAATATCATAATTTTTTTCTTTAATAGATCTGAGAGCTCTCAATAGTAAACTTCGGCTTAAAATTAATAATTGAAACCTACAATATTTTTATCGTTAATAACACCAGACTGTATTATTATTTGCTTTTATAATATACCTTCCTCTATAAAGTCGATCCCCGCAAAGTATAATTACCTTAAAATATTTTTTACTAAAATTCTAAAATCATTTTGCATGTTATTCTGCACAAAGTAAATCGGTGGACGGTTTGTGCCAAGGAAAGTTAATTTTTCAAACTGCCAAAAAGCGAGCCACTCGATTGGAATTGAAATGTCTTTAAAAACAAGCAAAACTGACATCAAGATTGGCCAACAAGCCATAAAACAATTAGCAATGACATAATTCCCAATCGCCGCGACCCTTCGATTAGATTAAACCACTACCATATAATAAATCTCACCGGACAATGATAAGATACGATAAGATAGTGCGCGTTGCAAATCAGGAGGTCTAATCCACGGCTGTATATAAGGAGGTTCGGCTGGTTGGGCTTTGCCCATTTGTGAAAATGACAGGCGTTAACGTGGCGATTCTGCTCGGCAGCTGTTTGCTGCTCGTGGTGCTGCCGGTACAGTCGGCCCCCGGTAAGCTGAACGGTCGAGTGGTGGGTGGCGAGGATGCGGCCAAGGCCCAGTTCCCCCACCAAGTCTCCCTGCGGAACGGGGGTTCCCACAGCTGTGGCGGTTCGATCTTGTCCAGGAACTACATCCTGACCGCCGCCCATTGTGTGACCAACGAGGATGCGAGTGGCAACCACATTCCCATTGCCGCGGAGCGTTTGACCATTCGAGCTGGCTCCAACGATCGCTTCAGTGGCGGAGTCTTGGCTCAGGTGGCCCAAGTGATTGTCCACGAGGAGTACGGCAATTTCCTCAACGACGTGGCCCTGCTCCTACTGGAGTCCCCACTGATCCTGTCCAGCAGCATCCAGCCCATCAGTCTGCCCAGCGCGGATACGCCGGCGGACGTGGACGTCGTCATTTCCGGTTGGGGAAGGATCAAGCACCAGGGTGATCTGCCGCGATACCTGCAGTACAACACCTTGACGTCGATTTCCACCGAGAAGTGTGACGAGCTCATTGAGTTCGGATTCGAGGGCGAGCTGTGCCTGCTCCACAAGGTGGACAATGGGGCATGTAACGGCGATTCCGGCGGTCCGGCCACCTACAACAACCAGCTGGTGGGCGTGGCCGGATTCGTTGTGGGCGGCTGTGGGTCCACCTATCCGGATGGTTATGCCAGGGTCTTCTATTTCAAGGACTGGATCAAGAAGCACTCGGATGTCTGAGGATATCAAAGGAAAAAGCAACTTTTTTTTTTGTTAGTTGTAAAGATAATTAACTGTTGTATATTTTGTATTTTTGTTTGTAATATTAATTGTTAATATTTCTACTAATATACAAAATTACATATATATGCTTATTTAAAAAAGAAATTGGCATTTGCTATCATATTTATAATCATAAACCTCTCGAAGTGATTTTAATTTGCCAGCAAAAACAAATAAGTTAGGCACTCTGGGCTTACTATCAATAAATTGTAAGAAATCAGTTTTTTTTCTGTCCTTTTAAAAGATAAGCTGGAATTCGAGTGCTACCTCGTGTATCTGTTTTAATCTCGGCAATAAATTAATATTGGTAAGTGATTACTCATGGTATATATATATATAAATGATGTTAAAAAGATAGCATGTGTTAACTGGTCTAAGCATTTTAAATGTATACCTAATAACTTACATGTGTTTTGTAAAATTCACACCGCCAAATTGTGGACATTTTTGGCAGCCCTTTTCCATTAAAGTGTTTGCTCCCTTTATCGCCCGCCCCTTTTTGTGTGCTACACATTTTTTGCATATTTGTCAAGCAATTTTACTCTAAATTTGCCAATTATGCGCATTTTTTGAGCGTGACCCGAATGGCCACCAATACCCATCCGAAAAAACGCATACCGATACGGATTTACACTCGTGTGTGTGTATGGGGAATATAGCCTTTTATCGCTTTGGCTACATTGTCTCCTGGCCATTGTTTTAAGCGAGGGTAGCTAGGTAATATTTAATAAAATAGTGCAAAGTTAAGGGAAAATAGGAAAAATATGTTAAAAAACAAAATATTTATTTAAGAAGAACAATGTGTAAGAAGTTTATTTTAAATTTATATATTATATTTGTAACTATTTATTATTGTTTATTCCTTTAAACTTTAAAGCATTTAAAATACTTGAATAGTAATATAAATGTTTTTTAATAAATCATAATTTATTTTTTTAAATGACTGTTTTTTAAGTTTGGGTCTAGTTGCTAGTTATAATTGATAGCATACTTTGGGGGATGCCAAAATTTAATTAATTATTTGAATTAGTATTTAAAGAATAGCATGGATAGTCTTTCCATTAAAGTCTTTTTGTTTGTAATTTTAATTGATTATAGTATTTAATGCTTACTCTTTCTCCCACCCTCGCTCATCTTTGGTGTCTCTTTTTGTCTCACTTATTGGCCATGTTGTTGCTGCGATCTCGCGCATTTTCAAACTTATATTGGCATAATTTATACTTTAGCAGCATTTTTATCGCTGCGCTCGGCACGAAATACCAAATACAAAATACAATAAACAATGGGCCGCTGCGCAGGAACAATAGCAATAACAACATGCCCGTTCAATGTTAGTCCCATACAAAAAAAAAAAAAAAAAAAAAAACAAAAAAAACTCCGCCCTTAACCCCCTGCCTTAACCCTTTTTGTTGCATTTTCTGTACGCCGTACTTTGCGTCACTTTGCGCGCTTTATTTATTTACGATTTTTGCGTGAGCCTCGTTCGTTTTTGGTTTTTTGTTTTCTTATTTTATTTATTGATTTACAATTTATACATGCTCGGTCACACATGCACTCACAGTACGTATACGTAATATTTGCCATCGAGTGTATGTGTGTTGTCATCATCATAGTCATCATCGGCATCTTTATTTGGCTTCGACTGCGAATCCCTTCACTCCCTTTTCCCCCCACTCTCCGCAGCTCTATGTCAATGCCATCAATCATTTGTAGCAGCATTTTTATGTAAATAATTAAAATAGAAAATAATCGTAAAATAAAAGGAACGAGTGTAATTCTTTTTTGACGCAGTCTGTCGAAGAAGATGACTGCAGCAGTTGTGGCGGTGGCGATAAAATGCCGGAATTTCCGATGAACCTTGTCGCGTGTCGCTCTTCATAATTTCCCTCTTAAATTATCGCGAGTGGAAGGCCACAGAAGTGGGGGGGAAAATTGCACGGAGAGGAGTGCGACACGGGAAATGAAGAAGAAATATTTCAGTTCGTAAATATGTGGAAAGCAATGAAAGAGGCACTCGTATAGTTATTTATTTTTAAGCAATCTGATATATCGTGCCTTGTTTTATTATTAATAAAAGTCCTTTGAACGTAGTTTGACTATATTTTGTGGCCACGACTAAAGTGATTTCGGTCCCAACTCCAAATATTTATTTAACTTGCAATTTAGTTCCATTAAATGATCTTATAAAGTAACTCTGTCCTTAAAATGACAAACATTTTAAACTTAAATATAGACCAAACAAATGTTTGAGTACATCATTAAAAAACCTTTTTAAATTGTTCGAACCCCATCAAAAATGCAGTAAACTTGTGTCGGAAATATTTGTATCATTTGATTTGATGCAAGTTCGTTTGATTTCCAGTGGAGTGAGCCGGAAGTGGCCATCAAATTGTTGACCATCTATCAATCTATCCTTACACATATGCAATTTCAATATTGGTTTCCAAGTCAGGAGTTATTAAATTCCACAAAAATAAAACCATTTTGATCATTATTTTTCTGTTATTTGCTGCAAATTGAACAAGTTCGAAGCGGAAATAATAAACAAGAACGGACGAGGCACTGGAACTTCGGTTTGGACTGACATTTTGCGATGTGTCATCATTCTGTATCGATGGAATTGAGGGGCTCAACTATATGTTGTGCACGCACATTGGAATTTTTAAATAAAAAGGAGCATAGAGCTTAAATTTAAATACTCGGCAGAGTGTGTGTTTGGCATAAGAATGCGTCCAAGTGTATCAACGATATAAACTTCTACGCCCACATAGACATATATCCGTGTTCGTGCACATATCTGTGCATATATGTGTTGTTTTATTTAAAATGAATTGCACGCAGCAGCAATTCCAAAAATTGATTTCGGCAGGAGAAAAGGCCAATGCAATAAGGAAAATGCTATATTTGTTTGTTTAGCAGTTTGTTTTGGCACATTTCTAATTAAGTTATTTCATTAGGTCCTGGCAAGCCTTAATTCTGTGTATTGCTTTATTACATTTTATATTCATTTAAATCGGTTAGTGAAACATTGTTAATTTTCTTGTAATAAATTGAATAGGGATTATGTTTCTTAAGCATTTTTTGCTCTTACACAAACGATTATTTAAAATTATTTAAATTATAAATAAATGTACAAACTATAAATAGGTAAAAAATGGATCTTACGAATAGGTTGACATTAAAAACATTAAACAGTTAAATAAATGATTTACCGATTAAGATATATCTTATATATATATATATATATATATATTAGTTCTATAGTTCTAACCCATAATTCCACTTATCTTTGTTTTCTTTTGATTAAGTTAGGTAATTGGCTTACCAAGCATTTAACATAAATAAGACTCTAAAAAAATGTTAAAAAAATAAAAAAAATATCGGTTTCTGAAAATCAAATATGTAATTATTAATAATTTTTCGATTTCAAATGTTTTTCCTGCTTTTTTTGTTAAATATTGTTAAATAAGAATAATAGAAATACCTCTTTGGAACGGACTCATAAATAAGCCCACCTACACCTACACCTACACACACACTCTCACACGCACACACACACACACACACTCACAATGCGAGGGCGACAGACATGTGTAAGTACATACAGCTGTGTATATTGGGAAGTGTCGTCGGTTGGTGCTACTTTTGCCGCAGGAAGCGGTCGCAGCTGTGGGTTTTAAAATTTCAATTCATTTCCGTTGTGCATACCGTATACGTATACGTATGTATTTACGTGTACGTATACGCTACAACAGTCGGCCGACAATACACACGCATAAGGGCACACGCACTGGCAAAAATAAAGGGGGGAGAAAAAAAAAACAAAAAATGAAAAACAAAATGCGGCTAAATGGCAGACAGGACCAAAAACAAGAATAACAACAACAACAGCGGGTCCTTTCTGGTCTGGCCAGGGCAATTTATGTGCCGAAAAGGCCAAACAGAAACGAACCTGAGGCCTGTTACCGGAGATCCCCCCATCACCCCCGAAACTCCCAAAACCCCAGAAGTACATGGAGCCCCATCAAAACCCCCCCCTCCTCCCCCTTTGCAAACAGTAGGAGCCATCGAGGATTCCATTGCCGTTCCCGTTTGGGTTCGAATCGCAGTTGGTCTGCAATGAGCATTGAAATGAGGTTGGATAATTAGTTGGGTGAAAGAAAACACATCTAACTGATCCATCATCATGATCAGCTAGAAATTGTACTCTCTGATTCTTAAAAAATTTTTAACTTTTTATAGGTAACTGTGTTGTTTCCAATATCTTTAAATATTAAGCTTAAGACATCGATTTTTGGACTGAAACTTAATATCTGATTTATTCTGAATTTAAAAGATATAATAACAAAAAAACATTTTTAAATTGTTTTTCTTATTAAATTAAACTTAAATATTAATATTTATTTATTCTGTTCTGAAAGGATAACAAAATAAAGGTATCACTCCTTAAATGTGATGTGCATTGAACTTATATTAAAATATTTTTTGCTGATACTGATATTTGTAGATCAAAAAGATAAAGATAATGTCTGAGATATTATTTTTATGAAATTTAATTAATATATATATGTATAAAAACTTTATTTTATTATATTCAAAAGTTTCTTATTTTAATATAGGGTATCTCCCGGTCGACTATGTCAACACATTTGTTCTGGCTTGTTTTATGTTTAAAATGTAAAATGCTTCAAGTCACAAAATTCAATAAATGCTCAGTGCCCGGTGCAGTGCCACTCCCCTTCCGGCCCAGTCTCTCCTCACCGCCCCTACCCCCTCCTCCCCCGCCCCACGCAGTGGGCGTGGCACAATGGGGGAAATTGCATAAATGTATGACAAATGAATGCGTTGAATGCAGCACTGGCACAACGTTCGCTCAGGTGGCATATCATAGGTGCTATTGTGTGGCATTGACACACAGATACTCACTGTGTCTTTTGCGGGGGGTCAAGGGGGGTAAAGGGGGGTAAAAGGGGCTAAAATGGGCTAAAAGGGGGTAAAAGAGAACTGAAATAGACTAAAAAGGGGGCTTTCCAGCGTTTGGCAATATCGAAATTAAGCGATTGATGAGAGGCTAATGAGGGGGGCACCGCAAAATGAAATGCAGTGAAAAGTGCGAACGATTGTGAAGGACGACAAAAGGACACATATCACTGCGCATTTCACGTGATCTGGTCACAATGTGGTTTAGTTTTCCAAAAAGGAAAGCAATATGGTGGTCTT